TCGTGTGCCACTTTTTTGTTCTTACCACATTTTGACGTCATCTGTGATCTATTACTGAACAGACGCACGGCAACATGGAATCTATTTGTTAAATAGTTCATAGACTAATTAGTCCATAGTTCCTAGTTCACAGTCTAAGTTCATAGTTCTTCATTGTTTATATTTCATAGACTAATTACTTCATAGTTCTTAGTTTATAGTTCATGGTTCATGGTTCGAGGTTCGAGGTTCGTGGTTCGTGGTTCGTGGTGCGTGGTTCGTGATGCGTGGTGCATGGTGCATGGTTCGTGATGCGTGGAGCGTGGTGCGTGGTGGGTGGAGCGTGGTGCATGGTGCATGGTGCATGGTGCTTGGTTCATAGTTCAATCAACGATTACGGTGTTATGATTTTAAAAGGTTTTTAAATTTATCGTCCATTTCAGCCGGTGGCTCAGCTTTCGCAAGTGATTGAAATGGGTGAGAGGATTGGAGAGCTGATTGTGAAAGGATTAAGGAGAGGAGGGAATATTACTGAACTAACAAGCGTCCAAATACAGACTGGCTCCATAGGTGAGGCGGTAACTTGGTCGAGTATAATAAGATGCTGTGTGACGCTAATACGGCTTTCAAAAAGAACAAAATAACTACAGTCGAAGAGTGATAATTATTGTCAACGTTAATATAGTTTGGACAGCGGATATACTTGCTACAGCATACGTATTATAGAATCTACAGATGCTATAGATAAAATGGTTCATAATATTATAATGTTCATATCAACATGATATCTGGAACATCTGGAAGCAGAAATTCTACTCCGTAATTTCACCTTGTTTTTATTCTTCTTGTTCTTTTTGTTTTTGTTGTTGTTGTTGTTGTTGTTTTTTTTCTTCTTCTTCTTCATCTTCATCTTCGAATAAATAAACTTTTCTTTCGAAACATTGTGAAATCCTGACGAATCTTTCAAAAGAAAGAAAGAGGTTTTTAATGTCTGCTAATCGAGTCTAGTTTTACCCAAATCACCACTAAACAGATGCTGCGTCTTAAAAACAACTTTATGTATAGTAAAACTGTCTTTTTACGGAGACTGAAACTAATTTTATTTTTTTTATGCTTTTCCTTCACTAGTCCTTGGAGTTTCCATGTTACCTCCAGTTCAGTCAATAGAAAGCGCAGAATCAGTGTCTTTTCCAGAAGAAGACAGACAGAAAGGCAGCATCAATCTACCAGCTTCACTAATGTGGAGGGCACAGCTTGAAGGTTATCTTTTCATGCACTGGTGACTTAGTGGTATTCATCCCAGTTATGCTAATTAGTTTTGTGGTGTAATATTTTTAGATGGTGTCTCTGTTTCCAGTCTTCTGCTTTCTAATGTCAGTGTGACAGCTGATCCTCAAAGCAGCAAGTAAGTCAATAAGTTATCACATTAGCGCCTGTGGTCCTCCGTACAATAATGCGAGTGAGAGACGAAGTGCTTTCTCACAGAGGGGAAAAAGAGGCGATTGCAATCGTATACTTCTCAACAAACAATTAATCAAGCTTAAATCGTGCTGTGTTTGGATATCTGATCTTAATCAACAGTGTTTTTTTTATTTATTCACTCTAGTCTTCGTTTTAGTTGATAAAATATATCAAATACTCGAGATAGTGTTTCATCACATTTCAAAACACCTCTAACTTCTTCAAAAATAGGTCCGCAGTGCCTACATGTGTGGCTTACAAGTTATACTTGTAATTAGGATAAAACTGAGTTATCATGAAAAAAAAATGAAAGACACTACTAAGATTTTCAACTCAAAAGGTCAGTGATCGATAGTAGAAGGTGAAAATGTGAGATACTTTAGAGAATAGGGCGCTATTACAGAGAATCTCAAAGTGTGCTCGTGTGGGGCTTCCGTTTATTTAGTTTTATCGTACTAGTAGTTACGATATGGTAAATGAGATGCTGCTGTATTGTCACTGTATTTGCTAATTTGCGAGTAATTGAAACTTATTGCTTCAGCTCATAACTAAAAAGATTGATAGGCCTTAATAAATATATCCCAAACCAAAGTTTAAAAATAAAACAAGAAATATGACTTTTTCTTAAGGGTTTGGCAAACTATTTGTGAAAGTCAGCATAATCAGCAAAAGATTAACTGATTCATTGTATAATACATTCATATATGTTATTTGCCGGCTTGCAGGTCCGTATCGTGAAAAACTGTGACCGAGGTCTTGAAAATACTGCCCGGGGCCGCAGGCCGAGAGCAGCATTTTCAAGCCCGAGGTCACAGTTTTGACATGTTTATTTTTTTTTTCCTGCAGTAAATTGGTTTTACAGGTTACAAATGGGTTTGTTTACGCAACTTTGTAATTGAATCGGCTTGCGCGCCGTCTAGTAACCATTTGTAAAAATCTTCGCAACGAGCGAGTAACTCAGATAGTAGACAAACAAAGATGTATTAAAGAACAGATTTTTTTCGAACTACTTTATGTTAGTTGTATTTATTTCACCAGTCAAGTTCTCCAAAATTTGTCT